AAGACGAGACAGGGGGGATATGATAGAACATTTAAATATATAAAGGGAATCAACACAGTAAAGGAGGAGACTATATTTAAAAGAAGAAAAACTACCACAAGAGGACATAGTCTTAAAATAGAGGGACAAAGGTTTAAAAATAATATCAGGAAGTATTACTTTACTGAGAGGGTAGTGGATGCATGGAATAGCCTTCCAGCTGAAGGGTTAGAGGTTAACACAGTAAAGGAGTTTAAGCATGCGTGGGATAGGGATATGTATATGTCAAAATAACCATCATACTGCAGTATGCACTAATACATTTCTTACAGGATAGAGCAGCGCTAAAAAAAACTGAATAAAGTAATATAAGAGGCAGCACACCTGCTAGTAGGGGGATCCCTCAAAACCACTAATGAAACTAGAACAAGTACGCAGGTACACAGAATACAGGTAGCGCCAAGAATAAAACACTCCAAATAAAAACAATAAGATGCACACAAATATATAAAAACAAAAAAGTCCACAATAAAACCTTAAGGAAAAAAACAAAACCAAATGGTAAGGCACAGTCTTAGAGGTAACAACACATCTTCTAGTTCTTGTACGGTATTTATTGGATAACTTCACTTGACAGTGGCATATAAAAAAAAGCATAAAATAAAGGTGAACCAATAGTGCAATTTTGTTGTAAATAGTAGGACAAACAACACTTAGAACAGTTATCAACTCACATATAGTAGAGGTATAACCAGCTCTAGGTGAAACAGCATGCAATGGTTTTGAATTCCCACTTGCAGGATATCCTTCTGATATTGGTGCACAGTAGAGTGTCGCTAAGGCAAGTCACAACAGGATCGCATTGAGGTAGATTATATCTACAAAAAGTGTGTGGCGAAACCGACCTCACCACTGGGCATTGGAGAAGACTGATTGCAAGCCTCCTGCCATGTGACTATGGCCCGGGGATGTATTACCCTTTAAAGACATGATTTGGGCATAATGGATTTGTGTTGTGCTGCTGCTGGCCCTTTAAGAACCATCTGGGGACATACTGTGGAGTTACTGGGTGGCCACCATTTCCTGTATCAGAAGCACATGGTGAGAACAATGGATGGCGGCCATTTTAACTCACAGACACTGTTTGGACTTTTCTACACGGTGCCATCTCGCCAGTATTTGGTACACAAAGACATTGTGCAGTAGTTTTAAACTATACAACAGGGGACACATTATACAGTAATTATTTTTCATATAGCCTGTATATGTTCTGCGGAATCTGCATCTTTCAAACTACTGATTCATATGCTTGAGAGCATTCGTATGCTTCTCCGGTTCGGGGGTTGTGGTGTCTGCTGCAGTGCTTGGAATCCTAAGGAAGTGCTAGGAGCATCCTTCAACTGAGGTACCCAGTCAGGGTGCCAGGTAATCCGTTACAAAGTGGTCTATAGTGCTCTCTATATAGGTAAGTATTAATAAAATAAAGTGAAATATACTTGCAATACAATGAGCAGACTTTTAAATATACTATTGGATCAACTTAATATTTGAAGACACATTTTCAAGAGCTTTCTTCTCTTCCTCAAGTCTGAAGCAACACTGATCAATATGTCAGAGATTAACACTTAAAGCCAGTGATATTGCAAGAGATGGAGAGGGGGATAGAGCAGGCTGTCAAAAATAGCAGAAGATGGCCTTAAAGTCGAAAGAGACAACAATAAACAGATTGAAAAGCAGAGATAAACAAAATTTCAGGGGTGGACTGCAAACAACCAGAAGATAAAGACACCTAATGAAGTAATAAATCTGAACCTTAGAAAACTTTGAGTCTTTGACATGCTGATACCCTCAATACAACAAGGTAATAGCCAACTAAAGCTTGTGAATGTGGTGTCATATTGGGACTGTGTTTAAGACTTACAAGGAATCAAGGAATAAATCATTCTAGAGGAAAGGAAAAAAGAAAAAAAGTAAGGAAGAAGAAAGGAAACAGCTGGGTTTCCTAAAGGAATTAATTGTAATTGCTATTTTTTTTTTTTTTTTAAATAAGGAGAATCAGATTTACTGGCACACATTTGCTAATTGAGTATTAAAGGATATTTTGCCCCACCCTGCAGTGGAGATTTGGCTCATTGCCTAAATAGTCACCTTTTGCTCCCTTTTTGCAGATTGGGCACACCTCCTGAGGCCACATATCCAGCTAATATTTATTGTAATTGGCTTATCCCATAATGGCTTCCAAATGCACACAAGATAATAAATTGACCAATAAAAAAAAAGGGGAACAAACAAGTAAAAAGGCTGTCTGCTTTTTTTCCCCCTCAATAAATGTTGGATAGTACAGGAAAGAATATAACAGATATTCTAATACAATCCACATATAATATGTCCGAACAGGAAATGGAAAGCAGTACAGTAACTCCTAATTTGCTTAAATCCAGTTTGGAGGAAGTTCTAAGGGAATTAAAAATTGATATAAGTGAGAAATTCTCAGATTTGAAAACAAATCTATCCTTTATAGTGTCAAGAATACAAAAGATAGAGGAGGAGGAAGAGGCAAGAAATCTTCAATACAAATATATGAAGGATTTGCAAAATAAACTTGAGACAAAAATAATTAATTTAGAGCAGTGGTTCCCAAACCAGTCCTCATGGCCCACCAACAGTCCAGGATTTATGTATTTCCCTGTTTTATTCCAATGGAGTTAAAACAAAACCTGGACTGTTGGTGGGTCTTGAGGACTGGTTTGGGAAACGCTGATTTAGAAGAAAAGATTTGCGACTTAGAGGACAGATCTCGAAGATCTAATTTAAGATTCCAAAATATTCCTGAGCAAGTCTCAGATATGAATGTGCGAGACTTTGTAATGGAGTTTTTTTGAGTTTGGATGTGTCTTCTGATAAGCACAGCATGCAATTGGAAAGATGTTATAGAAAATTCCACCCTAAAACCTATAGTAATGAATATCCAGGAGATGTTATGGTTGCATTCCACTCCTATGAGTTTGAGTCACAGATTGTACAGGCATTTAAAAAGAAGCCATCTACTAATGATAAATATCAAGCTATCAAGATTCTTTCAGACATTTTATATCATACAAGAGCTAAGAGAAGATCATTTTCATTTATATTTCCTCTTTTGAAACAACATAATTTTAAATTTAAATGGGGCACCAACCATCTTTTTTACGTGTCCTATATAACAATATTTGTCAGTCAGACTGGCTTAAAGAGTCCAACATTATATAATGTAAAATGAAAGTGTAAAGTGTACAATAGTGGATGTTTTGGTGAGGAGGGGGGTGGGACAGAAGGAGGGGACATGGAGTGGGTCGTATGGTTGTTGTTGTTTTTTTTGTCTCCCTCATTAACATAATTTGATATTAAAAATAGTAATGCACTATAAGGGGATTGAAATTTAAGAACATTATATTTTGTGTGTATGAAATATCACAGTGGATAATGGTTTACCTATCAAGAGTTTAGATAAGCACTAATGCACTAGAATTAGTAGTAGGAGGCACTCGTAATTTTCTACTCTATAATGGTAGGTCACTGCTTAGACAGGAGGGAGGTTTTGAATGGAATATATTGAATGTATTGATAAATAAGTAGTGCGGTAAAAGAGTTTTTTTGTTGTTGTTGTTTTCTCTTTTCCCTCTCTGTCTCCCCTTCTTCTTATCTCTCTACCCACTTTTCTGTCCTGGTCACCCCTAAGGATGGTGGGGGGTGGGGGTTGTGGGAAGGGAGAAGGGTCCATGCTCCCCCCTTCCCGTCCCTCTATGAGCCGGCCCTCACTTTTATCTCCTCTCTTTTAATTTTTAGATATAATGATGGATTAGGTAGAATTGGAGCAATATTACCTCCCCTAGGGTATTAGATTGTACCCAGGACTAGGAGACAGATGAGTTCTCCAGAAATTAGAGCTTTTGCTCCAGTTGTATGTATACTTTGGGTGGTATTTTATTGTTGTATATGTGTTTGTATTTGTAAGTTCACTGCAGGTGCAGATCAGAACAATGGGAAGGTGGATGCATGGTTAAGGTGATCTCAATAAATGCCCAGGGCCTACAAACTCCACACAAAATGGGATTCCTGTATGATACACTAGTTAGAGAAGGGGCACACATAGGTTTCATACAGGAAACCCATTAGATTAAGGAGCAGAAAAATATGTGGAAGTATAGTAACTTCACTTTCGTCATGGCACAGCCCGAGCCCTGCCGATAGCAAGGCATGGCTGCCCCTTTAAGAGACCTGGATGGGTTTGAACTCACAACTCCAGCATCCCAGTCAGGTTCTCTACCATGAGTCCCCCAGGGGGATTCAGTTTCTGTTTGTATTATTCTGCTTCTTGACCCCTTGTCTGGATTAAGCAGTGCTGATCCACCTGTAGCCCTTTTCCAATTAGGGTCAGCTGCATTTAATTTGCAGGCTGTAAAAGCCAGCCCTGCCTGAGTCTGGTCATTTTGCCTGTTTGGTGTTTCCTGCCAGATCTTTGCTTCACTACTGACTGATTTCCTGGACTCTGACCTCTGCCTATGGTGCTGAGGTCAGAGTCCTGGACCCTGGTATGGATAAATATATTGCATCAGGCCAATCTGTGGATAAAACATTAAACAGGCAGCTGCAATGAGTAGACTTATAAAAAAGTTTGATTTATATGACTTTTGGAGATTGATCCACCCAGCAGATCGAAACTATATACACAGATCAGTACCACATAGTTCTGCCGCTAGAATTGATATGATTTTGGGGAATACCCAGCTAGTACAGAATATAAAATTAATTATTATAAGAGATAATACGTGGTCGGACCATGATATGGTCATAGTGGATATAAAGGATAAGTACTAGAGAACCCCTCCCCCGTGGAGCCTGATTGATACTTTATTAAAATCTAAAGAAAACATAGACTATATTAATAAAATAATAATAGATAAACCCTGTAACGGATCGCCTGGCACCCCGACTGGGTACCTCCGTTGAAGGATGCTCCTAGCGCTTCCTGAGGACTCCAAGCACTCTGGCAGACACCACAATCACCGAACCAGAGAAACAAATAAATTCTCCCAAGCATATGAATGCTGTAGACAGTTGAATAGGAACCATACGAATAGGTTTACTCTCCTAGCAGTCAAACTGGAACAGCATACAATAAATCCTTCCCCCAATAATGAGACGACACTTCACTTTGAGGGTTAAAACAGGAACTCCCTGTACTGTCACATACAGTCTCTTTTATTCCCAATCCACAAACATAGTACAGCCCACAGGGTGTTACAAAACAACCAATCAATCCGTACAATACACCCAGACACTCCCACACAAAATCCTCCCCTCTGCATGTGATATGATTACTGAACACAATGGGTAATCTCATTATCACCGGCAGAGGAATACAGTTTTTACACAATATTTATAATTTCTAAAATATACATGTCACAAACATAAAACATACATTTTCATAATCAATCCATTCAGGGGAACAACATATTAAAAAATGGCACGAATCAGACCAGGGGTTCAAAAGTTAAGGGAAAGTCCTTTGTGACTAAATGAAGCATGGCTTTCCGGCCCAAACCAGTTTCAGAGTCTTCTATCCTGGAGATAATTCAATTATCTCCCAGGACAGACACAAGACTCCATTAAGCACATGGTTGCAAAAAGACACAAAACACTTTAAAATACATAAAGTCACCTTTTACACATAAGACACAGACATTTCACATATCCCCAGATAGCTGGGATCTGAGCGCACAAAACTACCGAATAGCGCTCAGATCCTATTCACACAGTTCAATTGCCATGGAGCCGAAGTCTTTAACTACACAAATGGGCTCCATGGCATAGCTATCTGGGTTAACACATTAACATAAAGTCTGGTCCATAGTCCAAAGGCAAGAGGCGGGCAAGCAGCCCCCTCCAAGGATACGTGGCGAGGCCGGTTTCGCCACAAACCCTTCTCTTCTAATAAATACAAGTTGATAGCTTGTATAAAACACTATACATACACAAAAAACACAAAACGTCAAAAATGTAGAAAAATTTTTAATAAAAGTCCAGTTAAATTCTTTAAGTTGTCCACTCCATAACGGTCCCTACATATAAATAAGACAGGGAAAAAAGGGAGGGTATCAGTATACCATAGAATCCTTATTAACACACTGAAGTTTAGTATTAAAAATCTATTTATTCCATTAATGTAAAAAATATATATAAAATTATAAAAATCAACTTTCCATATTTCAAATAAACATTTGTCTTCGAAAAAATCACAGGTTATGCCATAAGAAGTCTAGACCTTATTTGAAATGCTCGGCGTCCTGAGTCAGCAGAATGGTGGTGCTGAAAGATATCAAACAACGATCTTCTCTTTAACATAGGTAATGGCTAATGGTGATGAGAGTCAGACCCCTCCAGACGCGTTTCAGCGCTCCACTATCTGTACTTCTTCTATATTAATAAAATGTCTAAAAATAATTTTTAAGAAAACTTATCAGAAGAGATTTCCTATGAATGTCTTTGGAGCACCTTTAACCCCTTAAGGACCAAACTTCTGGAATAAAAGGGAATCATGACATGTCACACATGTCATGTGTCCTTAAGGGGTTAAAACAGTATTAAGAGGTTATTGGATTAAAATAGCAAGTCAAGAAAGAAAGAACTGCAGACTAAATATGTCAGATTTATACATTCAATTTTACAATCTTACTGCCCAAAATAAAGATAATTTTACAATAGATAGAGAAAATCTAATTAAAATATATTGAGAAAAGCTAACAAACAAATTCTACTATAGGAATAATAGAGTAGAAAATATGTTAAAGGACCACTATAGTGCCAGGAAAACATACTCGTTTTCCTGGCACTAGAGTGCCCTGAGGGTGCCCCCACCCTCAGGGACCCCCTCCTGCCCGGCTCTGGAAGGGGGAAAGGGGTAAAAACTTACCTTTTTCCAGCGCTGGGCGGGGAGCTCTCCTCCTCCGATCCTCCTTCTCTCCTCCCCGTCGGCTGAATCGCTGCAAGAGCTGCGCCAAGATTCAGCCGGTCGCATAGGAAAGCATTATCAATGCTTTCCTATGGACGCTGGCGTGCTCTCACTGTGAAAATCACAGTGAGAATCACGCAAGCGCCTCTAGCGGCTGTCAATGAGACAGCCGCTAGAGGGAATGGGGGAAGGCTTAACCCATTCATAAACATAGCAGTTTCTCTGAAACTGCTATGTTTATAAAAGAATGGGTTAACCCTATCTGGACCAGGCACCCAGACCACTTAATTAAGCTGAAGTGGTCTGGGTGCCTAGAGTGGTCCTTTAACTAATAAGTTAAAGAAAACAAAAATAGACAATACAATTTATAAAATAATAAAAGATGGTAGGACATATTTAAAACCAGAAGAAACTGGTAATGTGTTTACATTTTTTTATGAAAGTCTCTATAACTTGGAGGATAATTCAACATCTCTACAAATAGATAATTATCTAAAAATTCTAATATCCCGACAATATCACAGGAACAGCTAAAGATCTTGAATCAGCAGATCGACCAGACAGAGGTCCAGCACGCAATTGGCAAATTAGAATATAGTAAAGCTCCCGGCCCAGACGGATATACAAATATGTTTTATAAAGTGTTTCCGAAAACTGTCATTTTTTAACAGCTACCTTTGACAGCAACTTTTAATGAATTAGCAGCAAAAGGGGCGGCCTCTAAAGAGTTATTAAGAGTGAAAATAATCCCAGTTTTAAAACAGGATAAATTACACACTGATACATCAAACTACCGTCCAGTATCTCTAGTTAATATATATATATATATGAAAATATATGCTTCAATCATATCAGAAAGACTTAAAAGATTCTGTCTTTGGTCATTCACCCGGACCAGATAGGTTTTCTAACTGGAAGACAGTCATGTGATAATACAAGGCGGGTGGTAGACATATTGGACTGGGACAGCAGGAAGGAGCTCCCCTTCTGACCCTGTCGGTGGATGCAGAGAAGGCCTACAACAGGGTCAGATGGGGATTTTTGAGAAATGTTTTGATCCGATTTGGTCTAATAGGCTGGATAGCTAATGTGATTGGTACGTTATATTCATCCCCTTCAGCTAGATTGGTGGGACAGGATTTTTGGATCCACATCTCTCTCTACCACATTGAATGCAGGAATTTAAAAGATATAGTATTGTATCAAATTATAAATTAAATATGAATAAAACATCGGTTCTAATTAAAAATATTGAAGTCGATAATCTCAAAAGACTTAAAAAGGATTTTGATTTTACTTGGACAACAAAGGCCATACAATATTTGGGTATAGATATTACCACAGATCCAAAAGTGATAATGGAAGTAAATTTTTTAAGACTCATTAAACATAATAACATGCTATTAAAGGGAATTGGGATATTATGAAATCTCTTCGTGGGGAAGAATTAATACTATCAAAGCATATATCCTTCCCAAGTGGGCATACTTATTTCGAATAATCTCACTGGCAATCCCAAATCAATGGTTAGATATCATACAATGCAGCTTTACTAATTATATCTGGAGAGGTAAAAGACCCTGAATAAATACTAGGATTTTGTCCAAAAAAGACCATCAGGGGGTATAGGATATCCAATAATCAGAAACACCTATCAGGGGAATATGATTATCCACGCCCATAAATTACAAGTTAGCTATTTGAAGGATCAGGTGTGGTGTAAGTTGGAAGCAAGTAGAGTAGGCATCGATAACCTGGATTTTCTACTGTGGAATGATATAGGAAGGAAACAAGTATTAATGATACAAAGAATTCATTAATAATATCACAAATATTCAAAGAATGGCAAGGTATAAATAAAGATCTAAAAATTAATAATACGATTTATGAATGTTCTAATATTAGAATATTGGACATAGTAATGCCTGGCATTGATTTAAGAAGTTGGACTAAACAACGTGAATGTACAATAGGGGAAATATGTGAGAATTATCAAATATTATCTTTTGATAAATTGAAGCAGAATTGAAACCTCTCTCAATATATATTTAAATACCTTTGAGTTCAAGGGTTTCTTAAGGAACATCTATTAAAGTCGAATAATGATATAATCAACCTACTTAAGAAAATATTCAATGGTACATGTAAAACATTATCTATTTCTTATGCAAAGGATAAAAAACATGAAAAATTTGATATTGAAATCATCTCTTATGAAACAATGGGAAAACGATTTAGCGATCTCTATAAAATTATAGGGTTTGGGATTCTACACTTTTAAAAATCAAAAAACATATACATTGTCTTAACATCTTAGAGAGACAAGTAAAAGTCATGTACAGGTGGTACATGGTGCCAGTAAGGCTTTCTAGGATCTCCCCTTCTAATTCTCCAGTTTGTTGGAGATGTTTACATCAGGAGGGAACCATGTATCATATATAGTGGAATTGCTCTAGAATAATTAAATTTTGGGACTTAGTATTTAAAACTGTAAAGGATATTTTTGGAATACTGTTGATTAAAAAACAGAAACTGCTCTGTTAAATATTAATAGAATGGTAGGTGTTAATATACATGATATTTTGATTACCTATTGCTTAATAGCTGCAAAAATATTAAATGCTCGACACTGGCAGAAAGTAATAATTCAAACAAAAGCATCATTCATAAAACAATTGTTTTATCAATTGGAGATGAAAAAAAAATGTTACTTTACAATTATCACTCAGGATATAGATTTTCATCCATTTATAAAGAACTAATAGAAAAAGTTACTGCCCTTTATTTTGAGCCCTAAAAAGAGCGTGTTTTTATCTAATATATTGAGAAAAATCCCACAAATCTGAAGAAAATTACTCCAGAAAAGTAGATTATGACTGGAAATTAAATTGAATAGTAGCAAAATATAATGATAAGAACAAAAAATGTGTGTAAATATACCAAAAGAGAAACCAAACAGGTATATATATCTATATATAATCGATATATAGATCTCCACAGCTGTCAATGGCTGTGCCTCCCTAATGTCTATGTTGGTTAGTGTCTAATCAGACTTCTGACTTTAATATAATAATCAGTGTCAATGTCTGAATGATATAGAGAAAAATATATACAGGTAACATGGACATCTATTCTAATGTTAACACAGCATTTGTATCAAAATGTCAGATAAATGGCAGGCTTACAACAAAGATTAAATGTAGTGCTCCTGCCTCATTATTAGCTCTAGCCCTAACAAGGACTTTCCCCGCCAAATCCTCCACGAGCTGGAACAAGGTGCTAAGCAGTGAGTATAGGAACTAGACCACACATAGTTCTGGGAGTCAGCTGGTCTAATGCATCCAAACACAACCTTTTTATACACA